TTTGTTTGTGCCTCTATTGTCGTCAACGGCATTCCTATGCTCGCAAACTGGAGTATATCACCGCTCAAGCTGCTGCTCATCACGCTTCGCTCAGTCGTCAACCTACACAGTAAGTACACACCACTTCACTTTCTTTTTGTCGAATTATATTGCTTACGTTTAGAAAAATTAACCCCTATTACACCACGGCTCCCGCTGCAACTGCCGTCCGAACGCTAGTTCCACCACCTCCACCGCCGCTTCAGTCTACCGAATTATAGTGTTTCACTTACTTTATCCGATCATTTTTGAGATTTTTATGGATCTACGCAACCTGCTTACATCGCTCGAATATCCTTTGATTTTCTAGTCTTTCAAAGTTCATGGTCTACTTATGCTCAATACTGGTGCGCTTTGTATTGTATTTATTGATGATTAATTTTGCATGACTAATGTTTGTATATGTCCATAACTATAAACTATCGTGTTGGTGAGCCTGTGACGAAATATTCCGGGAGATTTTCCTAGTTTCGCTAAATTCTCCAGTAGGAGGTTACTCTCACGCGCTGGAGGGCACGCCAACACGACCACTAACTTTGTATGAATAAAATATTGAAAATTGTTTGTATCGTCTAACAACAAATTCTTTTAGTAGCTGTTTTGTTATGATAACTGCTGTTTAACGCCGCAGTACGCGTTCCGAATGTTATCACAAGAATGCTGAGTTGTGGGCAAAAGTCGTGCCCCAGGCGGGAGTCGAACCCGCACCTCACGCTTTCCGGGCGAGTTGCGCTATGCTACGCCACCAGGGCCGCTTTTACACTCTCAGCTGACGGCTTATGCCGTAACCTTTACAGCGCTCACCAAGTTAAAGTGTGAGTGCTGTAAGGTTACGGCATAAGCCGTCAAGCTGAGAGGGTAAAAGCGGCCCTGGTGGCGTAACGGGTAGCGCACTCGCAAGGAACAGCGTTGGCAGGTGGGGGTTCGAGGTTCCCGCCTGGGCGACGAACTTTTTTGCCCGACAACTGCAGCATTTTGTGATATCTTTATAGTACAATGGGGAAGCTGTTCGGGAAAGTATACAGATCATCTGTTCTTTCAGGACGTTACCTGCCAGATTCATTTCAGAAAAGACCTGCGGGAAAAGGACCTTCTCAACCAAGAGATTCGGTTTTTTGTCGGCGCAATCGGGCGACGCGGAGGCAGTTTGCCTCTCTCGCTGCTTTCATTTGTCGCCGATTTGCAGCGACTCTGAATCGAAACCTGTGAACTCTTGTAGCTGGAACAACCTGTCTTGCAGTATAGGTGAAACCTTTGCTAAGATCCGTTTTGTTTTTGATAACTGCTGCTGCTGTATTTACGCCGCACGTGCGCGATACGAAAGTTATCACAAGAAATGGCTCGAGTTGTGGGCAAAAAGTTTCGGACCACCGGACGGGACTCGCGAACCCGCATCTTCTGCTTACCGGGCAGTTGCGTTACCACTTACGCTACCGGGGCCACCTTTGACCTCTCAGCTCAATGGCTATTTGTGCCATTGCCTTCGAGCACCGGTCACATCGCTGCGTTCAAGTGATGAGCCGATATCGCGGCAACCGGCTGGCGTAAACATGTTATCAAACAAAAACAGTCTAAAACTTGTAAAAAAGCCTTCAGCCTTGCGGTTCACTGCCGATATCGGCTAACCGGCTCATCACGTTGAACGTGTGAGTGCTCGAAGGTAATGGCACAAATAGCCATTGAGCTGAGAGGTCAAAGGTGGCCCCGGTAGGGTAAGTGGTAACGCAACTGCCCGGTAAGCAGAAGATGCGGGTTCGAGTCCCGCCCGTGGTCCGACTTTTGCCCACAACTCAGCATTCTTGTGATATCTTGTAAGATCGCCAAATGGTCTCTAGGTGGGTCGATATCGATGGGAAGTATAAATAGTGCAGAATGCCCCCCCCCCCGTTGCCGATCTGCCACGTTTTTGGCCTACTCAGGCGACTTTGCATTAATTCGATGGAAGTCTGCAATCGAACAGGAATTTCCGAGTCCGAGTCCCTTCAGCTCTCTCTTGTTGATTTTGCTCTGTTTTTTTTTTGTGGAAGGTTTGGGGGTGATGGGAAGTAAGAATGTTGGTGAAAACAAACTTTGAGGTAGGAGGGCGTGCCTGAAGGGTGACCGTACTGAAAGAACAAATTTCCCTAGTCACTAAGACGTCCTTTGGTTACAGTAAAGTTAGTGATGAAACATCGTTCCCATTCGAGGAATGTCACTCGTTTTAAAGACATCGCAAACAATATAAATGAAGATGGTGAACTTCTTGAAAAGCAACTGATTTCTACTGTTTAAGGGTTTCTCCTCAGAGGCTTCCTCTCCGTTTCTGCTACCCAACTCCTTCATCCTTTACTTCAACCAAAGGGTATCGATGTCTCATTCCTGCGCACAGCATCGTACCATCACCTCACTATATAGAGGTGGGAGGAATTAAAGGAATTTGTAGGGAACAGTGCTTTATGAGACGCCCTCTCTCTTCGGAAGTATTTGAAAGGTTGCTCACTTACTATCAGCTAGTCATTACTTGCTGTCAGCTATTATTATTTATTATCACTTTATCTTATTATAACAGTGGCAAGTGAATGAGCTTCGAGAACAACGTTATAGAATAGCGCAGAATTCGTCGCTTCGTTGATCGAGACGGTATGTGGATCCTGAAAAAATTGCATAAAAGTAATGGGGACAGTCACAGCTCTCTCATAAGGAAATAGGATTTTGAAACAATGAGAGCTGATACCCTCAAGGGCACATACGCTGGTATCGTCGCATGTCGAAGGGGTGTCAGGAGGCATAGAACTAACCCACGGTGTTTTCTAGAGCTTGTTTTCTCCTAGCCAACTACAAGTGGTGAAAGACAGATGGGGAGGAGCTCATTCCACCCCTCCTGGTACAGCCTCAGTTGATGGCGACCATGTCAACTATAACACTACTATTAGCCATCTACCAAGCGGGTTACTGCAAGAGGCCTTTTTTGATATGAAGTGGCACGGAAGGTGCTTCTGCGGCAGTGTATTGTACCAACAGTTACTTACCTCAACCAGCCACTACTGATAGGAAAGCGCAAACGCGGGCTGGGCTTATTCCAGGCCTACTGAAGCCGTACCGTCGCCTCATTTCGTTATGCAGTACATGTTGGCAAATGGCGCCGTTTCCCCACAGGGAATGAAACTCGCAAGACCCTCGCCCAAGCTAATTGAGCCTTCTACCTATCGGTGGTGAGTTATTTGGCGCTGGATGAACGACTATTCGAAAAAAGTCATGGAAGGAACTGATCAACATTAAAACTTTAGGATTGCTTCCTTTTTCATCACTTCGGAAGAAGAAACTAGGAGAAGCAAAAATTGAGTGTTCAGTTCTTGATTCCAGCTCGACTCTAAAGATGGCACTTTACCTGCGAGTAAATGTTACATTATTTACCTCATCTGTATTGATGATCACCACCACCCTGCTGTCGTCCGGGGCGATGAACGCCACCTGCTTCACGCTACTATGTGATGTTGAATCAAACTTCGACAGGATTCTGTGCGAGTCAGGTCGAACAAATTTGCCTGGAACAGGTATCATCATCTAAGTACATCACGCGGGAATAAAAAGAAAAGAAATGGAAAGATGAACAAGACGCGAAAGGAAGTAGTGAAGACATCTCGGTGAAATGAATGAAGAAAAAGAATATCATTGATATTATTAGGTTGTCCGGAAAGTTCTCAGCGTTTTGTGCACCTATTTTTTGTACATTCACTGCTGATTAAAAACTCATTCTGCCTTGCTTCTCAGTAGCACATCCTGTAGAGAATTTCTTGCGCTATCTGATGGTATAATTGCCGTTTCACCATTGCTTGATAAACCCCCTTTTTTCAAGATTTTTTCAAGCATGTGAAAAGAGCACTTCGGACGATTTTTTTCTTCGACTATAAATTGGGGCAATCCGCAATCGAAACAGCTCAACAAATTAACCAGGTGTGGGGGCCCAATAGTGCTAGAGAAAGCACTGTGCGGCAATGGCTCAACAAATTTCGTTCTGGAGATTTCAGCCTTGAAGATGAACCTCATAGCGGTCGACCTAAAGCAATATCTGACGAGGATTTTAGGGGGATTTTGGAGGCTGACCCATCCCAAACAGTTCGAGAGATAGCAGAAGAGCTAGGCCTTGGCAAATCCACTGTTGCAGATGGTCTGGAACGCATTGGGAAGGTGAAAAAACTCGACAATTGGGTGCCCCACAATCGGAGTGACCGGCAGGAATCGGCACGTCTCGAGGTTCCTTCTGCATTGCTTTTGCGCAGCAGAAACGACCTGTTTTTGGACCGAATTGTCACCTGTGATGAAAAATGGGTCATGTATGATAACAGGAGACGTTCCGGACAGTGGT